ACCGACTGCGCCACCCAGGCGCCCCGAAGATCACACTTTCAAAAGTGGGGGAATCAGAAGAAAAGAACTATGAGGAAGTGTTACTTCATCTTACTTCCAGAGGATCCCGCTGCAGCTTTCTTCAGAAAAGTTAAAGGACATCGGAACCAAGTAAACAAAACAACCAAACAACAACAACAACACAAAACCCAGAATTTCGGGATAGGAAGGAATCTTAAGTTTACTGCAGAAAAGTACAATGGGAATGGAATTAGAAAGAAAGAAAGAAAGAAAGAAAGAGAAAGAAAGAAAGAAAGAAAGAGAAAGAAAGAAAGAAAGAAAAAGAGAAAGAAAGAAAGAAAGAAAGAGAAAGAAAGAAAGAAAGAAAGAAAGAAAGAAAGAAAGAAAGAAAGAAAGAAAGAAAGAAAGAAAGAAAGAAAGAAAGAAAAAGAAAGGAAAGGAAAGAAAGAAAGAAAGGAAGGAAGGAAAGAAAAAAGAAAAAGGAAAAGGAAAAGAAAGGCCAACCAACCAACCAAAACCAAACCAGAACATACAATTTCAAGGCAGGAAAAGTGGTAAAGTTCACCCCCTTCTCCTAATCCTACAACGCTGAATCTCTTCTTTTAGCATCCACTCCCTGCCATCTTGAGTGGTTCTGACTCATTTTCTGCTCTACATGCCCAGGAGAAATGTGGATATTCACACTTATTAAGCACTTCCTGTGCACAGAAGTTGGTTAGGAGCCGAGGGATATCCTGGAGAGGTTGATGACTGTCAACAGGGGCGCGCTTCTTCTCTTGGACCACTGACGCCATGGTTCTCGCTCCAGTGCACTACTAAGGGCTCAGCTTTTAAGAACCAAAGAGTGAAGCTTTTTAAAAGGTGTTACCCTAGCATTATCTGCCATAGCTAGAGCCTTTGATCATGCAGGGCCCTTTAGGAATGTAACTTGCAGAAGTCAGCGAAATAATCGTAGTTTTTCTCATCCTGCCGATTCCAACTTTCACCTACAGTTATCACTTCTATAACATGTGAGGAAGTTCTAGTACAGATCCATTCCATTCCAGGCAACAGTGTGTTCCAATTCACTAGCAAGGAACAGCAGCATTGTTCCCGGTCATTCAGGTTGGACGCAGGCTGAAAAACGAGAGGCTGAAGAGGCAGAGCTCTTTCCTGGAAGCCATCCAGACTATGCGAGAATCTGAACAGAGTTAATGATACGCTGTTACTACCACACGAGACTGTGGATGTGACGATGTGAGACTGCAGAAACGAGAATGAAATGTGAACC